TTACCAAACTTATTGGTAATCGCAAACACAGAAAAACAATTTTTCTACCCGTACTGCGTTCGAAATTTTTTTTGGAAACCTGTAGTGAAATTATATTTTCACTTTGAGTTTTACAGCTCATTTCATAGGCGACGCACCTCATTTCGTTTTCATTTGAATTTCACATTCATTTCAAAGGCGGCGAAAAATAATAAATATTATTTTTCAATGATTTAAACAGAAAAATTAACAAAAAAACAACGATTTTTTATATTTCTTGATTTTTTTATATAATCGTTAATATATAAGACACCAAAAACTCATTTATTCCATATAAATGTATGTAAAATGAATGGTGGTCCAGCCAGACTTTTCCGACCGTTCGAAGGTGAAAAATATCCGACCGACGGAGGGTTAAAAGTGAAAATTTGTGTCATTTTTTATTGAAAATTCGACGCTCTGCAAAATTTTTGAAAATTTTTCCATGCTATTTCCATACAAAACTTTGATTGAATTGCGCTCTGTCTAAAAGACAATATTAAGAGCTTAAACTTTCATAAAATTGTTTTTAATCAATTTGGAACTATTTGAGCCCTTGGGAGCAAGGGAATTCGAAAATGTCCATATTAAGGACCACCCTAATTATATATATATATAAGATATATATATATATATATATATATATATATATATATATATATATATGAATGTAGTATGTCGATAATTATTTGTAATGTTATGAAAAATGATGATACGTCCAGTAATGTCTCGCACGTGTTAGTCATCAGGTCGCGTGTTGAAGTTTAAATAAAAAACAAAATTATCAACCCCCGATTGAAATATTTACAAATGTATATATATATATATATATATATATATATATATATATATATATATATTACGATCAATCATTACATTATGCTACCTTTACAACATTTCATCCCTTAAGCAGGTGCATATACATTAAATACTAAATATGTAAGTATATGAGTGAGCTTTAGAACTGTAGATACAATTAAAATTTAAATCCGCAACATTTTTGATATTTTTTAAAAAAAAAGAAAACATTTTTTTTGAGTTCTAATTTTGCATTTTTTTCCATATCTTCGAAACGACTGGACCTGTCTTTCACAAAAACTAATCAGCAGGTCTTCGCATCAATAGAAATTCAATGTTTACTAAATCACTCTAATCGGTTGAGCGGTGCTCCCGAAAACGTCAATGAAAAATCTGTATCCTCACAAACACACATACACACACACCCACACACATATATCAATTTTTTCTAAGGTATACCAATATGTTCAGAAATATCTAAAACGTAAAAATATTGAAAAATTATCATTTTCATTTTTTGCGATAACTATAAAATAAATAACTAATTAAAAATAAATATAAATAAATGTAAAATAATGCAAAATTTTAAACTTCTCGTAGGGTAAGTCATAGTAATCGTCAAGAAATCGAAAATGAAAATTTTTGCATATCTTTACGTTTCAGAGGTTTCTGAACATTTTACTGGCATACCTTACAAAACACAGATGTGTTCGGATATAAATTGTCGTTCACGTTTTCGGTAACTTTTTTGTTAAACCGATTGAATGATTTAAAAAAAATTCGATTCCTATTGTTGGAAAGACGCACTAATTATTAGTTAATTAGTTAATTAGCTTTTTTTCGAACATAGGTCCAGCCATTTCGGAGATAAAAAGCAAAAAGTGCAAAAAATATCAGTTATTAGGAAAACTGGATGATCTAATCCAAAAAACATTTTGCTTGTGTTGAAATTGTGAAGTTTATTTGAAGATTAGTTTTTGTGGAGGAAAAAAGACATTACCAGTTATTTTTGATTTAGATTTTAATTTAGATTTAAGTTAGATGATTTGCTTAAGAAATGCCATGCATAGGAATAGATCTATATATTATTCAATAGACATTTTATTGTTAAGGGTTGGCTGGAAAAAAAATTGCCACAGTGGTTTCCATCATTACATCCTACTGTTTGGACCAATAAAAAGTAAGTGAAAAAGAGAAATGCCATAAGGGTTGCAAACATCCAAGGGACGTCCTCGCCACCTGCCCTGGGTAATTCTCAGACTTTGCTAAAATCACTTTAGTAACAATTTACCATAACATCGGTCCATCATAACATTTGCTCTCTCTTAATGATGTTTTTTCCAATTTCTTTTCTAAAGAAGTCGCTAATTATCGACAAAATTTACATAACAAGACGTCACCCTCCATCGTCCGTCCTTCGATTCGATTGGCCGACTCCCCAAGCGTCCAGATTTTTCATTGGTCACCCCATGGGGTTGAACGTTTTTTTATTGGTCGAGAGTTATGTGTGGATTTGCGTAATGTTGAAGGGGCGGTTGGGTAATGATGTGACGGGATAGACGACAATATATATATATATATATATATATATATATATATATATATATTGTGTAGATGGATAGATGAATAGATAATTATTAGATGAATGTGTCGGTGTGCGTTCAAAGGTAAATTGGCAGGTGATTCCTCACGTAATTCGTGGCCCTAAAAGTTTACAAGTTATTTCAATAAGTTCGATCAAAGGTTAAACACGTCCAAGACTTTTTTCTACTCGTGACATATTAATAATTAAAAAAGTGTTAAAATTAGATTTTTACTGAAAGTGGATTCAGTGGTGATTAGTGCAATTTCAAATAAATATTTTTGTTTCAAATATAAATTTTGTTAAACAATTTTTATCTTTTTTCACTGAAAATAAATCATACGTGTAGGTCTCATAAAAAGAATATTCTTGATTTTCAAATAACGGTTCACAAATAAATATTGTTTTTCAAACAATTATTCATTAATTACTTATACAATCAATTTTCTCAAAATAAATTCAAGTGAATTCAGTGATAATTATTATTTAATTATTATTTTAAAATCACAGTTTTCATTAAGAGATTTATTCTATATTCAAGAAGTTTGCTAGTTAATACCATGAATTAATGTTTTAAACAATTTATCTTTGATAATTTGTCTGAATAAATTTATATAGAAGTTAAAGAATCAGTTATAATCGCCATTATTGCATTTAACTTTAAATTTATTATTTTTATTATTATTTAAAAATAACAGTTTTTGTTAAAGACATTTTTATATATTTACGTGGTTTATTATTTAATTAAATATAAGTTAGAAATCTATTAAAATATACCACCTATAAATTATAAATATATATTAAACAATTTTCCAATAAATGTTACAAATTTAATTTTACTTAGTAATTTTATTTCATAATTTATATGAACACTTTTGCATTAAAATTGTATTTAAAGAAGTATCTATTAAATTAAAATCGACTGTTAATTAATAATTAATGTAAAATTTTATTTTATGATTTGATTATTTAAAAATCAGATTTTAGCCAGAGTGTGATAAATTATATGAATGTTTTCTTAATTGTTTATTTATATTTTCCATAGGCCTCTAATAATTATCAAGAATCGTTTCCATAAAATTGTTGAATATTTTCAGAAGATTATTAAAATGTGCTGATAAACCAAAAAAGACATTTTGGTGATTATAAATTTGGAATAAAAATGGAATGTGGAATAAAAAATTTTTGATCAAAATTAAATTTTAGGACCAAAAACAATGTTTTTTTTAAGCTTGAAAGTTCTCTACAAATGATAAAATAAATTAACAAACATTTAAATAAAAATTATTATAAGTGGCAATTATATAATTTTTTTCAGTGATAATAAAAATAGTTTATTAATTTTATTAGTTATAAACAGTTAATAATTACAAAAATATATTTTAGTATGTGATTTTTTTTTAAATTAGTTTGTGAGTGAAATAGTTATAAAAATGTCGGCATTTTCTGCTTTGCATTTATTGAGAAGTTACAACCATTTATTTATACCAGGTAATTGGAATTTTGTCCAGATTTCTAATCCTTAATCGTAATTGTTTTTCTCAGTAAAGTTTTTTTATTATTATTAAACATATACTGAATTCACTGTCAATACAGTTCTATTTTGTACTTATGTACTAAGTGTTGTGAGTAGAATCCTTTTTTGTTATGGCACAATGATTCTTCGATAATTACCTCCTTAGAGTCCTTGTTTCTGATCCATATAGAATCATTGATATATCGTTAACAAGTCATTTTTGATCTTTTCTAACATTTTAAATATACTCTTAATATCAAGTTCTTTATACTAATTCTGGTTTAAAGTTTTATTAAATTTAAGACTATGCAGACAGTTTTTGACGATTTATGTCCTTAAAGATGTTTCTGATTCGTAAAGAGCCACAATGCAGAATTTTTTTAGTTTCTGAGTCAAGTCGACAAGTTTCAGTTTGCCAGTTAGTGGCATCTTCATATATATTTATATTTATTTATTTATTATATTTTCAGAGTTGTCCAGTTACGGTACAGTCCTACCTCTGATTTGCCAACCAAATTTACAAACCGACAACAATTTCAACATTAACCAGAAATGCACAGAATTCAGTAAGTAAATTGTATATAAAATTGTTTAAAATTAGTAAAATTTATTTTTGTTTTATATATGAACTGCTTACTTATCGTAAGATAAGATAATTTCCTTCGATAATAAAATCTGGTAAATATAAGAGTGCTACGAAAATTTTTTGTAAATTTAGTCCATAATTATATATGGGCGCTTGCATTTTTTTCTTGCTTAACATGAGATAAGATAAGATTTTATTAATTATTTTAAAATTTATTAAATAAAAAAGTATCCTCAAATCAATCAAATAAGTTGAAGAAAAGTAATGATAAATAAAATAAATTAATAAAAATGTCTTAGGTTAAATCAAATACCGGTATGTAACTTCGTTCGCACCTAATTTTGTTAGATTAGGATAGAAAAAAAGAGTGATCTTGTCCGTTGAGTATTTTAATATAATTTTTTTCCAGAAGGTCTACTATCCCCCAGAGACATTTTAGCAGATAACCAGAAGATAAATTTGAATCTAAAAACTGATTCCTATATAATTCCGCCGCTTGTACAGAGTTTGGATTTTAATATCAACTTGGGCGACAGATTATCGAGTTCAAGTAAGTGAAAAAAAAAATAGAATAATTACTATAAATTAGTAAAATAATTATTTGTATACAAAATGTGTGGTTTAATCTAAGATAACATATATACACAAAATAAGAAAAATTACTAATTGAAGATATTTTAGCAGGATTTTAGAGCCTTCCTAATGTTTAACAAATTATTTAGTTTCAGGGTCGTGTAATTCCCTTCAAAGCCCCCAGACGCCTCGAACAAGAGGCGAAAAGAGACCCATCCCTGAAGAACAGAAAGACGAAAGGTAAAATATAGAAATAAAAATAATATTTATAATAATACATTAATAGTTTTAATAGAATATTTTAATTTCCAGATATTTCGAGCGACGGAAGAGAAATAATAGAGCTGCTAAAAAAAGTAGGGATGCCAGGAAGATGAGGGAAGATCAGGTAATTGGAGACGAATTATTTAGTATCAACCTTATTTTTTACTTAAAAGACTTAACAGACACAATCAGGACACTTTTAGTCTCTTAATTTAAGTAAACTCCTAACACTTAACAAATTGTAAGACTCGTATGCAGAAAAGATCAGCAATTTGGGGCAAATATTTTAGTCTCCAACTCACTTTTTCTCTTAAGACATGACCACTTTTTTGGTCTTTATCTAATTTTTTTGACATCAAATAAGCTAATTCTAAACGAATTAGCCGAAAGCTGTATATAATTTGGATAAATCGTTCAAAAGTTACAAGCGATACAATAAATAAATGCACCACTACTTAGCAACATGTAATGTTTGTGCCATACTATATATAGTACAGCGGGTCAAAAATATCCAAAATGGCGTCATATGCTAAAAATGCATGTGGGGTATCAAATGAAAGGTCTCGACGAGCTCATAACAAATATCATAGTAAAGTAAAGGGGTTTTTGGATTTCAAAAATCAAAATTTCCAAAAATTTACAAAACAGCCAAAATATAACTGAATCACAAATAATTAGGGACAAATATTAGAGGAATCTCGACGATCTTATTTTTTCGCAATATTGATTTTTTTGTACCATACTATATAAGTACAGCGGGTCAAAAAGACCCAAAATGACGTCATATGGTAAAAATGCATGTTGGGTATCAGATGAAAGATCTCGACGAGCTCATAACAAATATCATAGTGAAATAATAGGGTTTTTGGATTTCAAAAATCAAAATTTTCAAAAAATTGCAAAATAGTCGAAAAATAACTGAATCACAAATAATTAGGCACAAATATTAGAGAAACCTCAATAATCTTATTTTTCGCAATACTGATTTTTTTGTGCCACATTATATATAGTACAGTGGGTCAAAAAGACCCAGAATGACGTCATATGGTAAAAATGCATGTGGGGTCGACGAGCTTTAAACAAATATCATAGTTATGTACCTTAATAAGTAATAGGGTTTTCGGATTTCAAAAATCAGAATTTCCAAAAATTTGCTAATCTAGTCTAAGAATAACTGAATCGCAAATAATTAGGCACAAATATTAGAGGAATCTCAATAATCTTATTTTTTCGCAATACTGATTTTTTTGTGCCATACTATATATAGTACAGCGAGTCAAAATGACCCTGAATGACGTCATATGGTAAAAATGCATGTGGGGTATCAAATGAAAGGTCTCGACGAGCTCATAACAAATATCATAGTAAAGTAATAGGGTTTTTGGATTTCAAAAATCAAAATTTTCAAAAAATTGCAAAATAACTGAATCACAAATAATTAGGGACAAATATTAGGGGAATCTCAATAATCTTATTTCAATACTGATTTTTTAAATTTTCTTTTCCCAGATAGCCCTAAGGGCAGCGATTTTGGAGCAAGAAAACCGACTGCTCCGAGTCCAATTATTTCAAGCAAAACAAGAATTGGCGATGGCCAAGGAGCAGCTGACGCAGCAGCAATTGTTCAGCCATAATCATGAACAAACAATTTAATAAAATACAAAAAAACACATTTAAGCTGTATTTTTGTTTAATATAAGTTGTATATATTAAAAATGCACGAATGGGACCAGTCGCAAAATTCCTTTGATGGCAAATGAAATAGATTTCGAAGACAAATTTTGTTATAAGTACGATGTATTCTATTTGTTATTATAAATATCAAATTTACAAGATTTATCATAGTTAAGGTTTAAAAGTGATTTTAATGTGGTTGTGATCGTCTTATCTAAATATATATATATAAATATAAATATTAGTAACAATTTTAAGCAATATTTTAATATGGCACCATAGTTATTATATTAATAATTGTGCACATCACGTGTGAATAAATTACAATTTTAGATTTTGAAACTAAAGCATTTTTAGATTAAAAGCTTTTCATGAATTTGAGATTTATAAGGTACAGTTTGACAAATGAAAAAATTTAAATAAATTATCCTTTGTCTGTATCTGTATGCCATCTAAAATTATTATTGTATTTACATATTATTAAAAATATATTTCAAGAAAATAATATTAATAATATCTTGTGTGTATTCCTATATTGAATATTAATAGTTTTTGTTAACGGATTGAAACAGAAGTTTTATTTTATATTTAGAGTACTGCATCTAAATTAAGCTAATTTAGAGCCGTAAAGTTGACCAATGATGGCAAGACTACGTTTCGTAACGTTTTTCATATAAAATGATACTAAAAACTGTCAAGTTTTTTAGTAAAAAATGTACAGTTGTGCTCTCACATGGTTCTACTGTTATGATCAGAAATAATTATGAAAATGTTTTTATTTTTGTTGGTTTCCTAGTGACAACGAAAATGAGAACATTTTAAGTTTCCACCGCAAAAACGTGTAAAATATTAATTTTAAGTAATTTTTAATCACTCATGCATAGAAAACTGACTGTTTTTTTTCAAGTCATATCAAACATACGCATTTAGTTGATTATGGTTTCACATTTTATTAGATTTATATAATCCATAAATTATATTTATATATTTGTTATTATAATACGTTATTTTATATTATTGCTATTTTTTTAAAGAACATTGTATACTTGTGTGTGCATGACTTAGTTTAGAAAAGCGTTTTTGATTTTAATTGGATTTCTCAAGATATAATATATATATATATATATATATATATATATATATATATATATATATGTTTAAAAAGATTTATAACACTACATTTTATCAAAATGCAAATATGAAAACTAGTTTTAAACCGCAATTAGGATTTGTTACAAAGTTACAATTTACAAATAAAATCACATGACACCACGTCATAAATATAAATTTACACAATATTTGTCTTAATATATATATATATATATATATATATACATATATCATTTATAAAATTATTTATTAATAAAATAAAACTACGTATATTTGTCTTAAATAATATTTGAGCTTTAAAATTAGATCCAGGTAACGGAAAAATTATATATAAACAACTAAATATGCTCTTTTAGCATATTAATGGAGTTTAAATATTGTCACAAGAAGATAACATTTTTATTATATATATATATATATATATATATATATATATATATATATATATATATATATTCTATAAATAAATGAAGATGTTTGATCTTAAACTTTATTAAATAATTTAGAGTCAGTTGGCAGTTTAAAGTCGAGATGACGAAAGTGCATTTATAATCATAAAATTATATTAATTTGTAAATAAATTATATAAATAATTATGTGTGTATATATAAATTCTAATTAGTTGTGTAAAAGTTTGTGAGTAAATAAATCTTTGACATAGAATAATCGATGACTCAAAAATAATATTAATAACAAATGATCAGGGATCAGGGATCAAAAATGGGAAAATTCAAATAAAAACCAACAATAAAATATATACTGTGACTCCCAAACTAATAAAAAATTTAATCAAATCTTGAACTAATTTAATATATTAATATTTGAATATTATATATAATAAACTATTTAACTAATTTAAATATGTGTTTGTAATTTTAAGTTTTTTGCAAAATTTCTTAGTAAAGTTAAGTAAAGTTTACTTTGTGAAGTGAATTGATCTTAATTATGATGACAATTTATTATTGTTTTATTTTTTACAATATTCTTTTAACTTATTATATATTGTTATTGTTATTATTATTAATTTATTAAGTGTTTGAAATTTTATAAAAATAAGTTTATTGTTTAAGGTGTTTATATTTACTTTTAGGGTAAAAAATGTAAGACCAAGTAACTTTTATTCTTTGTTTTTCTTTTATAAAACAAGTTTGTTAGAAGTGTAGCATTTATGATTGGAGCACAAATTGAACTATTGAATAATTATTAATTATAAACTAATCTCTATTTATTTATTTATTTTATCAAAGTGTTTGTTTGAAAAAAAATGTGACTGAATTTGCCAAAATGTGTTCTTCCGATAATATTACAGTCAAGTTGAAGACGTCCAGAAGTTTCAACAACTTTCTGGATGTACCTAATGAAACTCCGAGGAGTCTCAGGAAATCTATCAGGTTGGTAATTAACTAATTAAACTGAATAATCATTTATTTATTATTATTACTATTTATACTTTGACCAAAGACTAGTTGATGGTGTGAGTACACCAGATTTAAATTACTATCTTAATAGTTGATAGTTAATTTTTTACTTCACGAACTTCTGTATCCATAGTTTTGGTTTGGGCTTTGAGTTTCCAATATTTACTCTTCTTGTCCAAATGAATGTCGTCCTTTCTGAAAATTGTTATACATTTTACATAAAACAAGACTTCTGCCAAATAAGGGTCCAATCCAGTTCCTATAAGAGTCCATCTCCTGATAATTTTGTCTACTCTCTCCATAAATTCCACAAAAATTTTCAACCACCTTTTCGTTAAAAATCCTTACTTTACTTATTTACCTAATCCCTTTATTTATCTATTTATTTATCAATTTGCTCATTATTCTATCTATTCATCTTCACATCTATTTATCTAGGTATCTTAGGGGATAGTCCATTAATCACAAATAAGAAAATTTAAGGTTTTTAAGGGGAGGAGGGTTTGGCAAAAATATCACTAAATATCGCATTGGGGAGGGAAGGGTACAGTAAGATATCACTTGTCATTGTATTTATTTTTTACCCAAATTTGAAAAAAAAAATCCAAACATTTTCAAGAAAAATAAAAAACTGTACTATTTTTTTCGTAACTAAAAATACACATGAAGTTTGGTGGTGGAGGGAGGTAATTTTGAATATCACCATGTATCACCATGCTTTAGTAATTTTAATATCTAAATTACATTTTTCTCACTAATAATTCAATGTATATTATTATTACCAAGGGGGAGGGGAGATGCAAAAATCCTTCAAAAAAATCGATCACTTGATTAATGGACGCCCCTTAGTCGTTTCTTTATCCATTGATCTGAATATGTATCTAATAATTTACTATTTTCTCTTCCAGTGCCTCGTTCCTTCATGTCCCCAAGAACTTCAGCTTCGCCTCTTTAGAACTGGATGTAACAAGCGAACGATGGTGGGTCCTGACCTGTTTCGTGGCCCTGTCGGCGGTCTCCAGTGCCCACTACATCCAGTACAGTGCCATCTCCAACATCATAACGAGGTAAACTGATAAAACCACCCCATAATAATAATATCAGAATACTAAACTCCAAGAACCAAAAGAAACTTCTGATATTAGTAAAGTTGAACAAATGTTGTATTTGTGATATATTTGTAGATATTATGGTGTCTCCGAACTGCACGTCGATTGGACAGCCATGGTCTTCGCCTTGGCGTACATCATACTGGCTTTTCCAGTTTCTAAGTTTATAGACGCAAAGGTAAATGATTCATTAACTATAACATTTATATATTCTCTCATCGAAAAATTACTTTTATCTTCAAATATACATCGTATAAAATTTATATATGTGTTTTATGAAAGAACTACTTGTTCTCTTCATTGTCTCTTCAAAAATCTTCATATCCACTTATCTTAATTTCCTGGCTTTTGTGGTAAATATTAGCTAAATCTAGTCTTCCACGAATTTAATTACCAATATCATCATTCATTTTTTACAACTGCCATAATAAGCCAATAAGATATGCATATCAATAAAAATCACCACACAAATGAACTTGATATAAATCATCAAATGTCTTCTAAAATATCTACCAAAACCTTTCTTGTCCATCTTATAATATTTATTTATTTGCTATTCAGAGAATGATTTAAAATTAATGGCTTACATTTCTGTGGCTTCAAAAATCTGCTAAGCCACTCATTACATTTTTCTGGTTTTTGTTGCAAATATAAGCTCAACCTCGTCTACATCAATCTACCAAACTAAATCTTGTAATTTTCAATCATCATACAGTGTAACTTGCTAAAGTTCTTCAAACAACTGCTGAATCCTATTTTTGATATTAGTATTTTTTTACAAAAATCATTATTCACCTAATTTTTTCCCGGTTATATACAAAATGACTTAACTTTAATTGTTTGCATCTAAAGGTCTTCAAAAATATTTACAACTTCTCATTATTTTTTCTGGGTTTTGTTTTAGATGTAGCTAAACGTTCTCTTCTTCAATCTTATTTAATAAAGATATTGTAAAATGCCTCCAACAGCCATGAAATGTTACCAAAAAAGATGCAACTTTCTACAAACTTTCAGATACCTATTATTCTCCTTTTTTTATGATTTTTTTCGGTATCAACAAATATAATTTGTTTACTATATAACATCTATATATTTTCCCAACATCAAAGAATAACTTAGATTTAGTCGTTTGCCTTTCTGTATCTTCAGAAATCTGTCTACCTACTCATTGAGTTTTACAAATTTTTGCTGCAAATGCAGGCGAAATCATTTCTTCTTCAAATTTAATTGACAGTATAGACATGAATGCAAGAGCCATAATATACCAATAAAACAAAGCTGATTATTTTGAATCGTGAAAAAAATAACTTCGATAACATTTCTTGTCCATCGTATAAAATTTTTATATCGGTTTTTATCAAAAAATGACTTGGATTTACTACTTGTGTACAATCTTATGTCATCCAAAATCTTTCAAACCACTTATTGGATTTTTCTGGTTTTTGTTGTAAATAGAAGCTAAGCCTCGTTTTTCTCAAATCTAATTATCAATATCATAATACATTTACTACAACTGCCATAAGATGCCACTTAATAGATGTATATTAATGGTGTAAAACATAATACAAAGCAATTTGCGAGAGGTCTTTAAATATTTCCTAAAAGAAGATATAAATTTTTATAAATTTGATTTTAAATAAAAATTTTTAGAATTCTTCTGCAATCAGCATCTATATATCCAGAATCTCTGGTTTAGACCTATAAATTTTCTGTGACTATTATGATATTCTTTTAAAATCAATATCGATCCACTTCTTTCTCGATCTAATTTATTAAAATAACCTTGCTCATAACTGTTCGTCTAGAATTTTGACCAAAGTCTAATTACTATTTTTTTCAGAATTTGCGAGCATCTGCAGTAACTGCAGCTATCTGCTCCTCTCTGGGAGCCTGGATAAAAACTTTGGCAGCCACTGATCATTCCTTGTTTCACGTGGCTTTAGTAGGCCAGAGCATCCTTGCTCTGAGCCAAGTCTTCATACATTCTATGCCAAGTAAATTGGCAGCTGTCTGGTTTCCACCACAAGAGGTAAATGGACATTGGAATATAAAAAATTTATATTCTCAAAATTGCTTTTCTTTTTAGGAATCCACCGCATGTTGCATCGGAGTATTCGGTCACCAACTAGGCATAGCCATAGGATTTTTGTTGACGCCTATAATAGTCAACTTGGACGACCAGCAAAAACTTGATATCAAAAACAACATCACAATAACAGACTCTGGACAAAACTTTACACAATTGGGTATCTCAGATCCTAATTCCATAACAATTTTGGAACGACTTCTGATCAAAGAACGTTTGACATACTTTTCCATCTGCTTAGCAGTAATGACTACTGTTGTGACAATATTCGTGGTCACAAGTAAGTAACCAGAATTTTTTTTATTATCTCTTTTATTTACAACTGTCCAGTAAAAGACATTCAATAAATTTGATGAATTTACAATAGTCGGCCGAAAATGGACATTGTATACTACAAGGCCATGTTGGAAAAAACAACTCAGTAGTTGTTTTTTCCATTCGATGTAAAATTCACAATATTTTATTTTATTATCAGGAGAGTTGATGGCTTAAATTCAGTGGCGCTTTTCTTTTTAATCTTCTTGGATAGTTCTCTGTTATCAATGACTTTGCTAATGAATTTGGGTAACTGATTAGCTTGTTTCTATACTTCTGTGCTGGTTTTGTTATTACTTCATTTATGGTAGGTGTATTCATGTCGGCATAATTAACCTGTTGGGAATATATTTTGGAGCTCCTAAGGCAATTTTCAAAAATTTGTTTTGAAATTTCTGTATAATTTCTATATCAGTCTTATGAGCACTGCCCCACAATTGTATACCATAACACCAAATTGGTTTGAATAAAGATTTATATAAAAGTAGCTTATTGTATGATATTAGTTTGGATTTAGTCCATAGTAACCAAGTAAAGCTTTTTGGTTTTTATCTCAAGCTGTTGTCTCTTTTTTTTAACAAGAAATAACAAAGAACCAGACAACTATTAATTGTCCATTATTTTTTTGTAGAATATAAATCCCAGCCAGTTAAACCTCCGTCTCATGCTCAAGCAGTTCAACGTTCCATTGATGAGAATGTCCAAAGAATGAAAAAGACTTTTAAGGAAAGATTTTTGAAGACAAAAAGTAGAAGAAATGCTGTTGGGCAGTTTGAAGTTAAGGAACTGAGGAGGAAGAGCATGTATTATAATCGTAGGAAGTCTACGATATGCTCGATGAGTGGTAAGTTACTAGAATTGATCAGATTAGGTGGCACCAGAAAAAATCTAGATCAAACTATTATCAGTTAGTATATGATATACTGTTTCATCAGAAGCTATCAGATTGAAACACATCAGTATTTGTGGAAGTAAGATCAGATCAGAATTTTGTATGTCAGATAAATTGTGATCAATTAAGGAGACAATTATGCCTCATGTGAAAATGTTTATCTGTTTGCTGTGCGGTCAGGCTTATTTTACACATAAACAAGCAAGCAAGCAAGAATCTTCGATGATGCAGTTATCATAACATTCTTCCTTGCTTATTTATATGAAAAAATGCGCCTGATTGTACAGCAAATAGATAGACATTTTCACAGAATTCACTGCCAATGAACAAGTATAAGATAGCGTTTCCTGAACAACCATGACAAAATCATTTAAAACAGGTGCTAAAATCATACAAAATGTAACTGGTGGTATATGGCATCGTGCCTTAAGACAAATTGCTTGAACTTCCCGTACCGTAATGAAATATTCGAGATATTTTGTACGTTTTCAAATATATTATTACAAATACTGTAACTTTCATTATTTTTGCTATCTTGTTATATCTGAGCAAATCAAATGTAAATTAACAATCGTCATTTCATTTCGAATTCAATTTCAAAAAAAAAATGCCTAATTTACACAAAATTGAAAAAGTGCTCCCGTATAGTCACAGTCTAAAAATTGCATTTGCAAACAATTTTGTACGACATTTTCGCTTATACTGTGCTTAGCTTGGCGGCATTTTCACATTTTTCAATAGTTTTTCAAAAATTGGAGAAGTGCTCTAGTATATAAACAGTCTAAACGCACTTGGGTAAACATTTGTACCAGAGTGGCGCTTAGACTGTGCTTAGTCTGGATAATTTCTTGCATTTTTAATCCAGAATTACAAAAATATTTAATGGAAAATAAAAAAAAGTTGTAATAATTTTTTATCGTCAAAAGCAATTGTTTTGTTAACAAAAGCAGTAAAATTTTCATTTTAAATCATTCAAATCGGACGCTTAGTTCACTAAAAAACTGCCATTTTTTCACATTTAGCTCTGTATCTTCGAAATGGCGAGCCCTGTCTTCGCCGAAAACTAATCACCTCTTTTCCCAATCATTACAAATTGAATGTTTTTTAGATCATTCAAATCCGAAACTCCGTTCTTTCAAAAACTAGATTTGTCTTTTCTGCACTCTTTGCTCAGTATTTCTGTAACGGCTGGACCTGCCTTTGTCAAAAATTAATCAGCACATCTCCCTATCAATAGGAAACGAATGTTTTTTAATCCATTCAAATCGGTTGATCCGTGCGCCTGAAAACGTGGACGAAGAAAACACACACACACACATATACACACACATCCATTTTTCCTGAGGTATGCGAAAAATTTCAGAAACCTTCAAAACGTCGAGAAATGCAAAAATTTTCATTTTCGATTTTCAGCCCATTACTATAACTACTCTACGGGAAGTTAATATATAAACATTTTCACAGTTTTCACTGCCAATGAACAGGTATAAGATAGCGTTGCCATGACAACCATGACAAAATCATATAAAACAGGTGCTATAATCATACAGAATGAAATAAGATCAAAATTCCAATTCCAGATACATTCCAAAATATTTGCAGCAAAGATTTCAAATACTTATTATACTCTTAATTATTATTTTTTATTGATTATTGTTTTTATTACTAATACTATTATTTTAATTATTATTTATTCATTTATTTATTCTATTTCTTATTTTTTTTCTTCTTGCTTTTGATTTTCAATACTATAAGTTTTAACTTATAGATTGTATTGTAATCTGATTGATAAAATTAGCAGATATAAAAATTAAAAAAAAATTATCAAAATATTGAAATGTGTATAATTTTTAGTTACTGTCAACAAAAGATACAACAAACAGTTGTCCTGCTTGAGAAGACTTCTGTTCAAAAATTATGGATTCGTGATCGTCCTGATGTCAACTGGTATCAATTCAGGAGTCACATCAGCAATCACAACACTTTTGAATCAACTTGTGCTCAATTACTATCCGGTAAGATAACCAACCAGAAACCAAATCAATAAATAAAACTAAAATACAAATTCTGTTTTTTTTCCTCAGGACAGTGCAGTTGACGCAGGTCTTCTAGGAACCCTAATGGTGCTATCAGGTAAAACAAGAAATAAGCCAATATAATAAGTTGTGGTTTTGTACATGATATTTTACCAAGGTGCTGCCCTGGGTCCACTTTATGGGCGTGCTTTGGACAAGACCCAGTGTTACTGTTTTGCAGCAATTGTGGTCAGTGCTTTATCAGTTGGGGCCACTTTGGCACTGACTGCTGCCCTGGTCAGTGGTAGTTTGAGACTGGTTTATACGGCTGGAGGATTTTTAGGGTAATTGGGATAGAAATATAATAAATAAAAGTTATGGACTTACTTATGGATGATAAAAGCTTCTTTGACTCAAAAATTGTAAATGGATAAAAATAATGTTTTTATAATGTGATGATGGTAGAAAGCTAGATTAGACTTTCAGGATTTGCTTATTAACTTCCCATAAGGTAAGTTCAAAAATTATAGTCCAAAAATTGAAATTGAAAAAAAGTCCAAAAGTAATTGCCCAAAAATCGAAATTGAAAATGTTTGCATATCTTTACGTTTCAGAGGATTCTGAACATTTTCCCATACCTTAGAAAAATGGATGTGTGTGTGAGTATGTGTGTATACAATTTGTAGAAGTAAAGTTTCCGTAGGTTAATTTACAGTAATCGTCCAAAAATAAAAATTGAATTTTTTTGCAAATCTTTACGTTTCAGAAGTTTCTGAACATTTTCGCATATCTTAGAAAAAAATATGTATGCATGTGTGTGTGGATTCAATTTTTAGAAACATTGTCGGAAGCACGGCTCAACTGATTTGAATAATTCAAAAAGCACTCAATTCGAGTTTTTGGCAAAAGTTGATCCAGCCAATTCGGAGATAAAGAGCAAAGAGTGCAGAAAATAGAAATCGAGTTTTTGAGAAAACAGAGCATTCGATTTGAATGATCCAAAGAGCATTCGATTTGAATGATCCAAAGAACATTCAATTTGTAATTATGAGGGAAGTAGTGATTAGTTTTTGGCAAAGGCAGGTCCAGCCGTTTCGAAGATATGGAGCTTTTTGAGAAAACAAAGCATCCGATTTGAATCATTTAAATGATCTGCTTGTATTGACGAAACGATGGTTTTCGGGGAAAGCAATAAAAAATTTTATCTCATTTTTTTTTAATTCTCAATTTTTTTTGAGTATCGAAATTTTTTTAGTATCGAAGGATTTTGATATTAATTTTAGGTAAAGTTCTAAAGCTCACTTATATACTTGAAATAAATAATTTTAATTCTACAATTCCGTTTATATAATCCTTAAAAATATGAGGTAAGATCCTTCATTCTAAACCCTTTCATTCAAATTCAGGAGCAATTTTGCCATAATAGAGCTAATGCTTGTTCTTGGTATTGAAAATTATGAAAATCTATCCAGGCGTCTTTTACATATAAACAAGCAAGGAAGAATGTTATGATAACAAAATTCTAGATGGTGCAGTTATCATAAGATTAATCCTTGCTCTATAAAATACGAATATTCGTTGTTCAATTACAATATTTATAATAGTCTATTAGAAAACATTTGATATTCTTCGAATATTTCATTGCGGTACGGGAAGTTCTAGCAATTTGCCATGAGGCACAATGCCATATACCCCACTAGTTTTGCAAAATGATCGTTAAAATCTAATTATTGATTTTAATGTTTTTTTCTATTTCTAGGATGTTCTTATGTGCTTTTCCAGTACTTGGTGGTGAACTAGCATCTGAATTGACATTTCCGGAACCAGAAGGTGTTGTATCAGGTGTATTAAATACAGTCAGTCAGGTAAATATAAATACGAACCAATATATCATCTTCTTATATATAAAAATGAATTGCAAAATGTGTTGGTAAGCGCATAACTCAACAACGCCTGGAACAATTTGACCAATTCTTTTTTTAAAATGTTTGTTGATATCCAAGGATGGCTCTCACGGCGACAAAAAATCGAATAATTGCCAAGAATACCCTAAAAACTACCCTTTTCTTTTTCTCATACAAACGTTTTCTAACTAAAACGTATAATCAATTTGGGCTTATTGCTATTATGTAAAGTTCATATTAAATTACAAGCACTCACTGTATACTCCTTCTTAACGATTATTCGGATTTTGATACATCTTTCTGAAGTTTGTTAAGGAAAATTTCTAGTATGTATGTGATTATAAAGTACTGGGATGTATGTGCAATATTGTAGAAATACATGGAGATGTGCCAGAAATTAAAATAATATAAAATACTGTATATGAATGGCAGATTGAATGATAGACATATGAACAGTATATGACAAATTATTTAACTTAAAATATGAAATTAAGTATTAATCAGGGCCGATCCTACCTTTAATACGACGCATGCGAAAAATACGAACGCACGCCTTAGGGGGCGCCAACATAAGATTTAGGATTTTTTTTTCAATATATAATTTCTTTGCATCTTTTACAAATCTTTCCACAATATTTTTAAAATTCGTAAAAATTTCACTTTATACTAACAAAGCGGTGTTTTCGACCGCTGTACTATATATAGTGCGACACAATCACAACAAATTGCAAATCGGTTAAATCGTTAAAAAAATTGATGAAATATTCGGTGAATTTATTTAAAAATAATTAATCTATAACGTTTTCTAATACACCAAATCTATACAACAACTCGGTATACTTGAAAATAAATATGAGTGCGTTTATTTTTTATATCGTTTGTAGATCTTAAACAATTCGATTAGTATAATTGTAGTATAAGACGAAGTTATTGATAATTAATTTATATATATATATATATATATATATATATATATATATATATATATATTTGCGTATAATGAAGACTCTAGAGCAACGCGGAACACTCTAAAAGCGTAATTAAATATCTCTGACTGAATTTAATTACAGAAACAACATTTATTAGTTACATTATATGCAATGTGAAAAAGTCTATTGATATTCTTAAAGTGCTCGTCAAAACCTTTCATTTGATATCCCACATGATTTTTACTATGTTGGAACATTATGACCCACTGTACTGTATATAGTACAAAGCAATTCGAATCGACTCGTTTGTGAATTTATTTATTAAAACTCGTTTAACTTTTAAACTTTTTGACTAATATGAATAATGTATTGGACAAATTTGTTCAAAATTAAATAATCTAGAACATTTTAATGCCCTACAATAACTCGAAATCCTTTAAAATTGCAATAAATAAGTGAAAATTAATTTAGACGCACGATGTAAACCATTGTAGAAGACTGACGTACAATTGAAAACAATTAATGATAATATATTTATCACAGTTCTATGTATTTACAAATATAATTACATTATTCGAAAGATCAAATGGGAAAGTAAAGATGAATACAATACAATTCGTCCCTCACGATATCGATTAGGAGAAGTATAAGATGCAATTTTGGATATCTTAAATAATAAAAAATTGAATTAATTTAATCCAACATGAAGTACCAGTGTTATGTTATACCGTTTAAAAGACTTCAATTTTCAATATAGTGTTGGGGAATTGAGACTCATCATTTTATTTAAAGCAGTTCTACATTTAACATCGCTCATATTATAAATATATATATATACGATATACGATATATATCGTATACGATATACGATACGATATACGTATATATATATATATATATATATATATATATATGCATTTTGGAGTGAAGAGTAATTGGAAAAACAATAATTATTATTTTTAGGTAAACGGTAAATATTAATATATTATATTAAAAAATTGTAGACATTGGTACAGAACAACGTCTGTCAGGTCATCTAATAATTCAAAAAAATCAGACCAGAAAACTAAAACTAATTCCAACCCAAACAAATCTTTTCAAACTACCATGCATCTAACCTTTACCCCTTTTCCCTAGATCTTCGGTATCATAGTGACCCTATGCATGGTAGAGATCCAGAACTCCTTCGGCGACCTGATAGCAAACCTCTCCTGCTGCTTCCTGCTGCTGATAGCAACTTCCATATTATTCCTATGTCCAAGGGATCTGAGGAGACAACAGACGAGAGCAGATTTAACATATGCTGCAGCAGTGGAGTGCGAGAGCAGGAGGGAATTGGAGAGCATCGAGAAGAGGAAGAAGTTGAGGATCGGTGGTAACGTTGGAGGAGATTTTGATGAAGATGAAGGGATTTGCGTCTGAGATAAGAATTTATATGGAAGGTGGTGTACCTTGGTTGGTGTCATAGATTAAGACTGGTATAAGTATAAGTGATAATATTAATAATAATAATAAGGTATTTATATTTATATTTATTCAAAGATTTATATTGATGTTCATTTTTATATTAACATTAATTTTCATTAGCTAGATAAATTATATAAAAATATTTTTAATTTTCACCAAATTAGCAACAGTGATATTTTAGTTACTTGTAGGTACCACAATTCTAACTATTATTTCAATAAATTATTTATTACTATTAATAATAGAATTAGTTTGAATTTTATATTTTTATATTTTAGTTCTTCTCATGGGAGGTAAACCTAAAATAAAATGCGCTTTACTTACTTAGTCTGCACTACTATTTTTAGCGTTGTTTTAAAATATAGTTTCTCTAATTATAGTACAAGTACTTCAAACGATCAATTTTTTCTTATAGATTTTTATAAAAACATATTTGCGATTTAGTTGAAAATATATTTTATACGTGTATGTTCTCATTTCATTTAGTAAAATTAATCAAATTTACCTTTACTATTTTATACTTTATATAAATCTTATCTAGAATTGAACCTAAGGGTAAATTTACGTGCTACGGTTCGTGGCGCCATCTATGATAAGCTGAAAGAAATAAAATTGAGGTATTATCAAAACGGCAGTGTTTACGATCTATTTATACTTGTTTATATATGGTTTTTCTTAAATGAATTTGCCATAAATATAAAATAGATTTTTAATGTATAAGTTTATTTTTTCATATACCAAATGTATGAGTGCAAGTATGGTTCGTGTCTCAGATTATTATGGACAGAGTTGCCAGATTGAGTGAAATTTTACATCTTTAGTATTGCCTGATGATCATAACGTATTTTATAGACGAATTATAAGAGTTTATAAATTGGATATATATAAACGTTTATATAGGTTCACATAAAAGGTAAATAATCTAAACTTAATCAAACAGAGATAGGATGAAGGATCTTATCTCATATTTCTAAGAATCATATAAACAGAATTGCAAAGTTAAAATTATTTATTACAAGTATATGTGTGAGCTTTAGAATTCAAATTAAAATCCGAATCATTATAGATACTTGAAAGAAAATATTTGGAAATTTAAAAAAAATGAAATAAAGTTATTTTTCTGCCCTAAATGACTAATTATTGCTCAACACTGTGAAACCAAGCCAAATATTTTTCGAATCATTCTAATCGGATGATCCATCTTAGTAACTGCTATTTTCTGCACTTTCAACTCTGTTCTCACAAATGGGTGAACCTGTCTTTGCCCAAAACTAATCAGCAAGTGTCCCCACCAATAAGAATCAAATGCCTGTTTAATCCATCTAATCGGATGTCCCGTTATTTCTTCGATTTTTGCCTCGTATCTCCTAAATAGCTAGACCTGCCTTTGCAAACAACTAATTAGCGCATTTCCTTATCAATGGGATTCAAATGTTTTTTGAATCATTCAAATCGGTTGATCCGTGCGTCCCAAAACGTAAACCAAAATTCGTATCCGCGCACACACACACATACACTAATACACATTCATTTTTTCTAAGATATACCAGAATGTTCAGAAACCTTTGAAACCTAAAGATATGCAAATATTTTCATTTTTGAATTTTTTGTAATTATTATAACTTACCCTACGGGAAGTTAAAAACCAAAAAATCTAATTAGACAAATTAACTATTTCGTTAATTTTCACTGCCTAAATTTTTTTTACTAAAATGAAAGTAGCATAATTTACATCGAATATTTATAAATCTGTCTCAAAAAGTTCCATCAAATCGGTCCAGCCGTTTGGAGATTCGCCCCAATAACAAGCAGATAGACAAAATTTTCAAAAATTTCGAGAATTTTTAAAAAATATTACAAGTAGAGACTCCTATTTTATTTATATGCATGTAAGTATAGATGTATAAATGTATAGATATGTGTGTGTGTGCGCATGTGTGCAAATATTCATATAAAGGAGTGAAAGTATTTGCGAATGAAAAAGCAATTCCAATGGAATCTACGTAACATATAATAAAGATAAATTTCGAAAGTGAATCGGAAATACAATAATAATGCACCATTATAAATAACACATGGGTGAAGTAGAATTGCTTTTTTCTTATGATTTGTACCATTTGGAGGTTAGGTTTTGACAGTTGAGTGTAAGTGTACCAAAAAATAAAGGAACCATGCCAAAATAAAATAGAGCATATCTAAGGTTCAACGTACTCTCATTTGTGAAATGTTATGTTGCCATGATAGACCAGTAAATGGATAAGATGTGTTATTTTAACATCTTTGCCATTTAGAGGTTAAATTTTGACAGTTGAAAATGCCAAAAAACTAAACAAATTAAATAAATTTGATCTAAAAAAAATGAGTATATAAAATGTGATACTGATACATCATGGATATTTAGAAATGTGTTATCTTACATTTATGCCATTTGGAGGTTACATTTTGACAGTTGAAAATGACAAGTAATTAAATGAAGTAAATGATATCAGAGAAATAAAACTTGATTCAGAATCTGGGTATATAAAATGTGATGCTGCTACATCATAGACCTGCCTTCGGGCACGAGTCTTTAAAATTAAGATATCAAATCCTTCCATTTAAGATATAAAATGTCGTAATTGTAATTGCGTTATCTCTGAAACGCGTTTCGTAACATTTTTGTGATGATAAAAACAATTAATATTGAAATTTTAAGAATGTTGTCTCTTTAACTCATAGATAACGTTTGATAAGAACAATTTTTTAAAAAGAACTTTATGTAAATAAAATGTATATTTTAGATAAGATATATGAATATTGAATGAAATACTTTTCGACAAAAATAAAAAAAAAACTAAAAAAAAGAAATATAAATATATGTTTATTGGTTGTTTGATTCTCTAAGAACTCCTGAATGATGACACACATGTCGAAACGTACAGAATAAAATAATATTTCAATATTATACTTAAAGCATATAACATAATTATAATTCATTGACTATGATATGCATAAATATAAAAAATATTATTTTTATTTTAAAAAAAAATGCATTTTTCTATCTAATTTTTCTTCTAACAAATGCAATACTTTATCTTTTACCAATTTGTTTTAAACAAATGTTTTTTATCAATTTGTTTATTTGAATAAATAATGCTATGAGTTTTTTTGTAAGTATAGGTTTCAGTTTGATTTATTACTCTCTATAAATTCTTTACCAAAGTTCAAAAACCTTTTAAGCCAGACTTGAAAAATATTTCATCTATTAATAACTCATATGTTACGCACATGTGTTTACGTTTTGCTAACCACAAAATACTAATATATAAATAATATGTATGTATATAATTTATATTTATTTATTTATTTATTTATTTAGCGGATTGTACGAAATAATTCGAGTTTATTGGTTTCTGGTACATTTATTAAGTTCAGCTGTTTATGAAACTGATTGAGAGAGAGGATTAGTGGGACGGCTGGTAACAATTTTATTAAATCACAAAAATAAATTAATATATATATATATATATATATATATATACATTTATATATCATACTTAGGTGCAAAACATCACGAAAAATTCATATTTTGGAAAAAAAAGTAGAATAGCAATTTTATGTAATATTATATTGTCAGTTATAATATAATAGGTATATACTTTTCAATGTGGAAATAAATATAGCAATAGATATAAATTGATTTTCAGTCAGTTATTTTTTTTTAAGATTTTGCTAGATTTTGTTGCAGTTACATTTTAAATTTTCAGCCAACTTGCAACGCTTTCGAAACACTTGCTATCTAGAATATTTTCATATCTAACACGTTTTCAGGCAAGTTGCAACGTTTTTAGCCAATCTAGAATATTTTCAGACTACCTAGAACATTTTCAGACTATGCAGAATATTTCCAGACTAAATGCGACTCTTTCAAATTATTTAGAACATTTCCGGACAAAATGCAACATTTTCAGACTATATATAGTCTATTTTCAGACGATTTGGAATAGATGTTCAGGTAATCTACAATAGATTTAGACTATCCGGAATTTTGAGAGTATCTACAACATTTTCAGACAAATTGAAATATTTTTAGACTACCCAGGATATTTTCAAATTGCAATATTTTTAGACTATCCAGAACGTATTGAGACTAACTAGAACATTTTCAAGCCATTCAGAACAGTTTAAAACTATCAAGAACATTACAGTTTTAGACTATCCAGAACGTGTTCAGACAAATTTCAACACTTTCAGATAATTAGCAACATTTTCAGACTAACTAATGTAGAACATTTTCAGACCATCCAGAACATGTTTTAAAAATCTTTCTGAATCACATTCAGGCAATAATTTTCTAAACAAACGACAAAAATATGGCGATTGTACTACATGATATATATAATATATTGAAAGTCGAATTAAAACTTGAAAATCATATTATCACTTGTTTTGTGTTTTTGATCACAACCTTACGTTGAAATCATTTTGCAACACACCAGAAAATAAAATACCAGATATTTTAAAATTTATTAAGAAGATTCTTTAATTAGTAATTAGCAGTAATACCGGTCAAATTGAAGCTAAAAATTAAATTAGGAATAATTCGCATTCGCTACAGGTTATTAAATAAATCATTAAAACTGAAAAGTCGAAAGTCCCTATCGATTTCTTTACATCGATTTACTTGCTACAAAAAGTAAGTTCATGTTTGTAGAATATTGCAGTTAATATTCCCAAATATTTAATTTGACGTGGGATAAGTACTTGAGAGAGCAGAACTTTGCACTTTTGACCTTAAATTATTCAAAAAAAATGCTCTGCAAAAAAATGCAGAGCTCGGGTCGATCTATGGGGACCTTTGAAATTCCATTTGTTATGGTTTATTTAACATTTATACCAATTTACAGCTCTATGTCCAAAATTATTATTACCAAATTTCAATTCGATTTTGACTGAGGTATGGTCATTTGGAATTTTTACCGACTGTTCTTGAATACGTTTTCATTGGGCTTGCAACAAACATTATATTC